GTTTTCTTGGGAACGGATCCCTATTCTGGAGCCATGCTCAGATGAATCTCAATGTCTCAGGTCCTTATGCGGCTGGCCGAACGAGGACTGCCCACCCACAGCTGATTGTACCATGGGGCGAGCCAGATCGAGCTGGTGCAAATCCATTGACCGACCTTTTTGGCACCGTAGCATGCCATAGCCGTTCATGGACGTTGCTTGAGCTGATACTGGTGAACATGCAAAAACTAAAGACCATCCGTGTTTTCCTGGTTTCTCAGCAATCCCCTTCGCTTTTAACGCTTCGCTGCGGACAAGAAGGTGAGTTCGCCCATGAGTTCGCCCCTGAACCCAAACCAACTACCGTCATGCCCGAACGATGAGGAAGCCAAAAGGGCTTGACGGCCCACGCTTGCCTGGAGCTGCTGCTGAGTTCCGTGCCGAGGCGACTCAGAGCTGGAGGTTTCATGCGACCAGTCCAGATGGTCCTGGAAGCTTTTCGAACTGGTATATGTTGTTTGGGAACAGAACGTCCACATGTTCTTCAGGGTCATCCGATTCTGGAAATTTCGCTCGACGCTCGACCATCGGGCCCCTCCGACTCGACCATATCGGCCACGACCACGTAGTCAACTCAGATCTCGACTGTTGTTTAAGACATGACAAGACTTCTGGACCTTGCCGTGGATTCCTTTCGACATAAAACACATGTCAAGACTATATCATGTGTATACAGTATACATTTATGAGATGCAGAGGCAAGGGGCATCAAGAGTCAATGGCCTGAGAGAGTCAATGGCGTCTCACTGGAGGTCAAGAGTGGAGATCAATGCGCAGAATGTAGATGGAAGCGCTTCTGTTGCACGAAATCGTGGCTGGTGTCGCTCCATGTCGGTCCCTGTCGCCGGTGTGACCTGTCGCCTTGGTGGGGGAACAGCCACGCTGATCCAGTTGGCCCAATCGACTCCGACAGATTGTTCTGCCAGACTCTTCTTCCAGCGGAGCCAACAGCAGGGCTTGTATGCTAACTTGTAGAACAGTGGAACACTTTTGTAGAGTCCAAAATCGATAGACCAGTCAAGACTGGGCACCTACTAAACGATCTACCTGGTGCCGGGAGCTTCCCCGCTCGGTCTGCACCTGCGAGGGAGTCGAGCTGGGGCTCAATCGAAACACCCAAAAAACCTCGTTCACTCCCGAACGGAGCGTCCCTGTTCCTAGTAGCGATGCCAGGAGCCCCGTTCGTAGCGTCCTATCGCTCCTAGTAAGGCCAGGAGCGCCCCGTTCATAGCGATGCCCTTGCTCCTACACAATTCACAGTGCTCAATGCATCGAACGACGATGGAACAACCTAAGGAGAGAAATGACCAAAGGCACTGAACAAACTGACATGCTCACACCTGAGGCACTGCACTGATGCTTGTCTCATCCTCAGTTGATGTGATTGACTCAGCAAGCTGTGACAAGTGCCATGGGCTGGTGCAGTTTCAACATAACATACCCCTAGTGTTCCCTAGTTGCATTTACAATCGTATATACATGTTGCCAACAACCATTTGTTTTCTTTGCCCTACGACATTCCAGTTGTGAGCTGTTGCAATAAAATGCTGCTGTACCTTGACAGTCTCTTCTTCAGGCAGTGAGAAATGGCTGTGTGCCAAGCGTGGAGACCCTCTTGGTGCTTGGAATGCATTGGAATTGGGTTTTGCAAGCGCTCTGAAAGGGATCATATTTGGCAGAAGGTCAAGGGTCATTGTTCCAAACTAGTGGAATGAAAAGGGACGGCCTGCTGCACTTCAAAGCAGATCCCCCCATCCCACCGGACCCGGCATCCTGACCTCCGTCCACACCAGTCTCTGTGAGGTTTCCCTTCCATCCGTCCATTCGCTTCGGAGGCGGAGACAGACACGTCGGACACGTCTGATCACCAGGATCACGGGGCAGGAAGTGGAACTTCCCTCCATGACCTGCGGGGAGAAACGGCCTGGACGTTGGCATCCTTATGTCGGCCGGAGACCTTCAGGGCTCTTCGCGACTTGGTTCCGAACGTGGGAACGCTAGCGGTTCCCGGGAACCAGCGGTTCAAGTCTTGGGAACGTGGTGGCAGCAAGGACAGGGAAGAATGAGTGGAAAGACCACAGAGAAGGGCATGTTTTCGTTCTCTTAGCCTCATCAATCTATACTCTCTCACTCTCTCTCTCTCTCTCTGTCTCTCTCTCTCTCTCCCTTTTTTGCAAAAAAGGGACCTCTGGTATTTGAGGTGCCCCTGTCCGCCAGTGCGTTTGGTTTGATTTCTCGGGGTGTTTGATGAGTATTTTTAGGGCCAATCTCCTAGTATTTCTAGACTGTTTGTGTACTACTGGACCACTGGATATACATATATATAATTAGTGGTCGAGAGCTTCTCTCATGGGAAACGGAGCATACCTGGATTTTACGAGGGAACTTCTCTCACTCCAGGGTCTGTCTGAGGTTTCATTTGGCTGAGTCCAGGTGGGAACCGTCTTTCTTGCATCGCCTCAAAAAGCGCAGCCAGGTCATATTCTGCCGAGAGAAGAGGCGACCACTTTCATGCTCCTTTACGATGGCCTCCTCTTTCACAGCGTGGAGCGTGCCAACCGCACACTGCTGGCAGGCTTGCCGGCACCATAGGGAATGGGGCGAAGGAGTCGGTGTGTGGCCGCCGTTTGTACCGGTGAGGAACGGCGTTGAACCAAAAAGAACGGGAGAAGGGTTCTCATTCCAAGGTTGCTGATGCCTTTGAGGAGATTCAAGCTGATTTTGTGGGGACCTGGAAGTTATTTGTTTTCTCACTTGACAGGAGTTGGGTACTTAGATTTTAGCTAGACAACCCACCCAATCCTGACCTTCTGGCTTCCGCGCCATACACCCGCTGTTTGGCACTGCCCCACCAGAACCCAGCACTGACCACACGTCGATGTGTCTCATCGAGGGTGGTCTGCCACGCAGACCATTCCGAGCATCACAAGTATACGGAAACCCCATGCCGCAAAACAGCATCTGTATGAGCTTCAGCAACAGCCCCGATGGTGCACTTGTTTGATATAGCAGTTGTTCATTCATGTTCATTCCCTTCCTGAATTGTGTAGCGTTTGTGTGCGGCATGCAGCCCCTTTCAACATTGCAATGGTTGCGACCAAGAATTTAAACTTGTTTTCACACCGATGTCTGCAGCGTTTGGCAAGCGCATGGCGAGACTCGCTCCACATGGCACGTGGCGCACCGTGCGCACGTAGACGTCATATTTCGGTCGGCGGACAACACGGCGCCACTGGCGGACAACGCGCTGTCCGTGGGGCGCAGCTGGTGATTGTTACACATTCATTTGCTTTCTCATTTTTTAAACACAGCCACCAGTGCATTGGGGCCTGTGGGATAGCTCGAAGCAACGTACGTAACTCTTCTAGTGTGCGATCTATAACTACGTCTGTAGAAACGGGTGTGGGGCACTACCTGCAGTTACCTGCAGCTACTCACGGCTGTAGCGGTGCAGCATGTGACTGCGCCGTGCCTTTGGGCCAGTGGCATGCGAGATCAGGATATCTCCACGTTCCCTTTGGGCTGTAAGAGCTTCCCCTTTCAGCAGCAGTAAACACAGAGTCATTGTCCAAGAGTGGACCCATTAAATAAGCACACAAAAAAACACGGCGCCCTCCATCAAAACACGCACCAAAAAAAAGAACGACTCTTTTCCCCTTTTCACCTCGAAAAACACCTCCCTCAACTGATCATCCTCGTTGGGTCTCTTTGGCCCACGTTGAGTGCGTTAGCTTCCGAGGCGGCGATCTTCAGCTTTGGAACTCGACGCTGCTCACCGTGGAGTTCGAGTGCCGAGAGTTTCGGAGCCTCGGGCGGTTTCGGAGTCTTCGTTGGACGTGGGGGACGCCGGGGAAGCAAACAAACAGACTTAGATGGGCAAGAAAGTCATAAGGACAGGAATGCTGGACTGAAGAAGAGGTCGCTGGTTTCTAGGGCCCTAGGGGAAAGCATCAAGAGGAGTCAAGCACGTTTTTGCCTTTTGCACGCAAACGTGATGTGCGACTAAAGCATGAGTGGGGCATTTGGAAAGCTGGCCGATGCTACTGGACATTAGGATGAAGACTCAGGGAACCACCATTTGGACTTCTTTGTTGAGCTTCACAGAAGGGCGACTGTCTCCCACGCTTGGGCCTCGTCCAAAGCGCGACTGTCCCAGGAAGTGGAAAGAAGCGGGGTACCAGATCTTCCCCCGAGAGATCTTCTTCCAGCAGCATGAGGCACCTTGATGTTGAATGGCTGAAGCAATGTTAGATTTCCTTCATCCAATCTTGGAAGTCATATAGTGTTCCGACCTTGAACTGGAAGTGCCAACCTCCAAGTCGAACAGTTAGAGCCGCTGTGGGGCACGGTTCTGCATGTCATCACATGGCCGGTCCGGGATCACATGAACCGTTGCCTTTGCTTTTGATGTCTCGGTCGATCTCCGTGACATTTGCTTTCTTCACATTTGTGGTCCAAGGAGTGCACACACGAACTTGAGATTCAGCGAGTGAATGGCCAAAGTTTTGCCAATCAGGACCCGAATTGGTTCGTCCTGACACCCACTTTGCTTTATTTGGTTAGCTTCTTCAGGTGAAGGACGTGAGGACCTTCCAACCACTGAACGTTCATCCGCATGAAGTTCCTTTCGCCCCATGTATTGGCCGCTGCATTTGGCTAGGAGCAAGGATGCTACTAGGGACCTCCTGGCCTAACTACCAGGAACCAGGACGCTACTAGGAGAACAAATAATCTGGATCGACCCTCGGGGCCTATTCCGCTCGCTGCGCTGAATGGCAGGAGCTCAGAGAAACGGACAGCATCAAAGTGAGGACGGTCATTGTGGCAGATTCCGCTGCTCGTTGCTCCATTTTTCAGCTCCAGGAGGGCTGGATTTACAAAACCGTGTACCAGGTTCCTTGGAGCTTTGGTTCAACAAAAGGCTCTTGATTTATGAGACTATGACCCCCAGTTGGCAAGGTGGAGACCCTTTTTTGGGGTTTCTTGCTAGTTGGAGACCTGTGTTCTTCGGACCCCCCCCACCTGGTCGGAGGACGTGATGTTGGTCGGTCGTGGTGTTTGGCACAGTGGCAAGGCTTACGCTCGCAGTTCTGGTTCGAGCATCAGAGACGTGTCCAATAGATTTCAAACATGAGAGGCCGAACTGCTCTGTGGCATCGAACGAGAACTCCAAGGAAGTCACGAGCAACACGTTGAAGGTCAGTGCACAAGATCCGATGGTGGGACCCGTGGGACCTGGGACTCATCGTATCATACGAAGCGCACGCAGTCCATCATCTTTTCCAACTTGTGGGACTTATACTAAGCTGTTTTCTCTTTTTTCCGATTTCGATGCAAGAAACTCAATTCAAGCGTCAAGGCTCCTCGTTTCTGCCCAGTCCTGGTCTGATTTTTGGGACCAATTCCTACCTGGCTGTTGGTTTGACAAAAGAGCCTGGTGACCCCTGGCTTTCAGGAGATACAGTAGCAGATTCTGCACAGGTCAAGGCAGCATGTTCTGGTCTAGGCACATGAGGATCGATGTCTATCTGCCAAGCGGACAGTGTGCATCGCTGTCGCTGCCACCAGACGCCACGGTTAGTGACTTGCATAGATCTTTAGTTCAGTTTCATTGTTTCAATCTTGTGCACCCCGAGAACGAATTGGCAGCTCAAGAGTAGATACCTTTCTGTACACGTTGGACTCTCAAAATGATCCAAAGTCTTGAGATTTGGTCTTGTGGACGCCTGCCGAACGTGCCCTTTTTTAAGGGTCCATCAAGAGGTCTGGAAGAATCACCAAAGACACGGCGACAGCGACATCCTTTTTCATTGTGGATGGGCATTGTTGTTATTTTGCTGGCTATTCTTTTGATTCAGAGCTATTTTTTTGCTTTTTTTTTGACTGAATCGTTTCAACCTGACGCGAATTTTTGCAGCATTTTGCCACCAAGAGCTCCTGCAGAGGCCGTGGATGAACGAACCCTCGTCACTCCGGTCGGTGGAAAAAGGAACGTCTTCAACGGCCGTGCGAAGCCGTGCTTCGCTGAGGTGAGCTGAAAGCAGCGGCGCAGAAGCACTTCAACTTGTACTTTCTCCGGCTGACACTGGACGGAGAGTCTCTAGCTTGATGTCTGTGGACAGGTCGACTGCTGGATGTTGTTGACGTCTCGACTGATTGACGTCAAGCAGGCTTTTTGACGTCACCATGAGACCTCCTCCCTCGGTCCTCGGTTCTGCTGGCTGGGTGGTATGGCGTGGTTGCCTGGCACCACTGAGGTGCTTGGAGATCCGCAAAACGCTGCAGGATGTCGGGCTGATACTCGGATGCATCGGACAAAAGCTAAGCCCACATCCCCTGCCAGACCAAGCATGCCCCACATCCCATGGGATGGGATTCGTTCCGTTTTTTGGAACGGTGAAGCAGCACCGCTTGAGCAGTTTAAGGGAACGATCAGGTTTTGTAGGGTTTTGTTCCTTTTTGTTCCACTATTCTGTGGTATTGCATTGTATAATTAGCATCAATCGGTGAACATTTGCGCTCAAAAACGGTGTTGCCCATATCTTAGGTCTTAGGCTTCTCATGTCAGTCGTGTGAGTCGCAGCGGACCATCAGCAGCTACCGACATCGTCGCGGACTCTGCGCACAGCCGAGGAACGATGGCGACATGGTTTCTGCTTTGGTGCAAGCGCCCAAGCTGGCAGCAGGCGGTGATTCGTCCCGACCAATCGATCCGGAAGCCGCGGAAGCCCGGGTCCTCGGACGCCGTTTGATCCTTTTTCTTCTTTCCCCGGTCATGAGGAAATTCACCAGCCAGGTAGGGGAAGATGAAGATGATCTACTTGAGCTTTCCACTTTTGTGTGGTTTTTGGACACGTTTGTAGTTCTTGCAAACCGTTTAAATGCGGACACTTATTTCTGGAAGAACCACAGGTGCGCACATCCAGATGTTGGCTTGCAGGTGTACCCGTCTATGAGTCGATTGCTCCTGGCCGCCAACACCCGGTTCTCAACCAAGAACGTGAGATGAAACCCAGACAGCTCTCAATGGATCTTTGCTTCGTGGGACCATTTAAGTACGGTATTTCATTTTGGATGTGGCTCAAGAATGCTCAAGAAGAATCGCCCTTTGGGTGTGAGTGACATCAACTTGAGGGCCATCCAACAGAATCCCTCCGCAAATCCTCACTCACCGATCCTCATCCTTCGGATGATTCCTGGCATGCATCCCCACGCTTGCACTCACTCACCGCGCCAACACCCTCACCTCAACGCCCTCCCCCACCGCATCGCTCCGCGGTGTCCAGGGCGATGGGCCAAAGCCTTTGCCCTGATCGATCGGAAGGGCACGGTGCTCACCTGGGGCCACCCGGGCTGCGGGGGCGATAGCACCTGGGCGGAGACCGGGGAGCCGAGGTGGCGACGGACCGACCTTCCTTCCAAGCGAAGAGACAGACACAAGAGAGACGTGGTTGCGTGCGGCAACGTGTATTCATGAATTAAGGAGATTGCCTCAGAATGCCGCAGTGAAGATGCCAATTTCCAAAAACCACCCGCAACGTTTTGCATCTGATCCCAAACCTCGCTCGACTGGAACGTTTTAGAAGTAGCAACGAAGAACACGTGCGCACGTGCGCAACAGCAGGATAGGTTTTGTGCACAGATGCAAGCCTTCAATGCAAGCTGTGATTTTGTGGCTATTGACCGATCATGCCAAGCCCACCCCCCACCCCCGAGTGTGTGCGAGTCTCAGGTGCCGGGACCCGCGGCCAAAACCAGGGAGACCCCAGAGACTAGTCGTATAACTTCAGCTATTTAAACCAATATATGTGGGTCAAGGCTCATAGTCTCACATCCTACTCCGCAATCTAGTTTCAATGGCTGCCCTACCCCAATGCCTGCACCTCCCATGTCTCGAGGCTCGGACGTGCGTGGTTTGCTGCGGAACGTGTTGCAGGTCAAGGCCTCCAGTGGTGCGAGGGCAGCCCTGCGCGCCGACGGCCGCGTGGCGCCTGGGTCTGTCGTCGTCGCGGTCGACGGCGCGGTCGAGCAGTCGCGCGGTCGAGCAGTCGCGGGAGGGAGGCCCCGGGGCCTTCGCGGGAGAGCAGATGGGTGAGTCATTCAGCTAGACAATGGGCGCGCCGTAGCAGCTGTGCTTTCAAGCAAGGAGAACACCCCGCAACGATTGTTGGTTGGTATGGCAAATATCATATCCACAGATCACAAGTGTTCTCATTTCCAGATACCCTCATGGCCGGGCAGGGCTTGAAAGTTATATAAGCATTATTATATAAGCAGCGCTGCATAGTGCCCCAGCCGCCGCCCCACCGGAAATTCTGAGAGTTTGCCAAGGTCGCCTGGGGCGAAGCTAGTCTGGGTGGTTCTTCTGAAGAGGTTCAAGCTCCCTGGAGGAAAGAAGCGAAGGGATGCTCAAGCTATTGGAAGTTCCATCAACTAGCAACTATTTTTGGAGTCTGACCACTTGTAGCAAAAGCAGATGCCGAAGCACGACTCTAGAAGCACAGGCTATTTTAATGAATGATCTGAGCTTGATAAAGCCACTTGAATAAGAATCTGAGGACATTCTGCGCAATGTCAAGCAGATTCAGTCCTCCGAGCGAGGTTTTGCCGCAATACTTGCATCTCGTCGAAGCCTATGGATTCTGATGTCATCCTTTTTGCTTTCAATTTAGGCATCTCACTTAGTGAGGACAATGGAACCCTACAACTCATGGCTGCAGGCTTCGAAAAGGAACATCAGAGACAAACAGTTAGCAACTAGCACAAGATAACATGATAAAACCAGCAGGCTCGAGCCACCTCAAAAATGGCAAACAACCAAGTCCATTGAAGCCCTTCCTTCAATCGACCCAGATCTTTAGAACATCCACCTCCAATCCTTTGCAACCACAGAACTCTCGCAGACCTCCGGTTTGCAACATCATTGGCCTCTCCATGGTTCGTCACGGCCAACCTCGGTGCCGCCTAGGAGGACGGCGGTGTGGTGTCTTGGGGCTGGGCGGGTGACCTGAACGGCATCGAAGATCAGCTACATGATGTGGAGCACCTTGAGGCAGTCCGCTTTTCACGTCGCGTGGTGGCGTTGTTTTTTTTTGTCTATGCACGCGGTGTCAGCCTTGGTGAACTGGAAGTTCCGGTTCCGGGTGACGGTGCAAACACACATGGAGGTGGACACCCGTTTCTCGAGACCACTTTTCTCAAAAGGAAACTGGGTGTGGAGGGAGCCCCAACTGGCGGGATCTTCCAGTCAGAGCTCCAACTGGCGGTTTTCTGGGCCCTCGGCTCCATGGCAAAGTCCCCCAGCTTCTATGAAGCGCGACTGTAGAATGCTAGCTCTGTCGGCAGGGCAGGTGCTCCTGTGATGGATTCCTTGATGGCTCCAGGGAGCTAGCAGCTACCCAAAGTCATCACACACCTTGAGTTTGTTGAACATAGTTCTTTTCATTTTTTGGGGGTATGTTCCTGTTTGCTGATGTCAAACACCTCCCCATTTCAGATGTCAATAGTATTCAGCCTTGCCCCGAACCATCTGCCACCTGGTGACACGTTTCATTGCCAAAATCCTCGGAAACCAAATGCGTCTGTCTAATCAACTCATGGTATTGAACTGAAATAGGAAGACCCTCAATGACCCCGTGAAAGAGAAAAACTCGACTATATAATATGATTGTAGTATATTATATATAGTCATCCTGGCGTAGATAGAATGTGTGAAGTCCAAACAAGAAAGGGAAACTGGACATGTTTTCGGATTGGTTCATATTCTATCTACAGAGGAAGGTTGTATACATACAAAACCAAGTGGTCGGAGTTTGAGGGATCCTTCTCACACAGACAGGACCCCCATGTCACCCATCGACTCAAGGCCTCGGCGGCGGCCTTCGCTGCTCTACGGGCCGATGGGCAAGTGCTTTGCTGGGGGCCTCAATCCATGGGAGGCGATGCCAGCGCGGTGCAACATCAGCTCAAGGCCTGACGAGCGCACCGGCGGTCAGCGCTAGCGGCAGTTTTTTTTGTCGGGCGTTCTTCGGGTTGTCGGGCTCAGCTGGTGAAATGGTGGAACGGGGGTAAGAAAGAGAGGCGACAGCTTGGACCCCCAAAGATAGGTAGACCAGGTAGACATGAGATAAAACAGGACCAGTAGTAACTGCATGCAACTGCTTTTTCTTGTGACCTGGATCAGCAAAGCCCTCTGATACTGACTGAGCTTGCAGTTTCAGACCAAGTGTGATGGATGTTCAATGGATATGTTTCACAGATGTCATAGTTCAGCGTGCATCCAATCTTCCGGGCCGCCCTTCTGGAAGCAACACTCGGACTACTTTGGCCGAAGTGGTCCAAAGTAAGTTCAAGCATTCCCCCAAACTTTCCTTATTTCCCAGTTTCCCGAAATTGGAGATTGAGTTTTTACTTTTTTTTCATCCTGTGTCAGTCGGGTTCATGGATTCCTTCACAACACACAGACGGTCTTGCAGAGAGCATTGAAACCACATCGAGGGAATCCCACTCACTCATTCCTTTCGGCGTCGTCGACCTCACCACACCTGTCATGATGTCCAGCCTTATGAAAAAAGTGAGGTTTCGCAACACACATTGTTTGTTGTGAATATATTAAACATGTGACGTCATAAATAGGTCACCAAAACACAAGTGCAAAAAAAAGTCTGAACAACATGTGAGTTTCACCAAAACACAGATGTAAAAAAGACATACTTAAAGCACATGTGGTTTCAACAATAGGTCACCAAAACACAAGTCTAAAAACACATTTTAAACATGTGAAATGTGAATCTCAAATATGCCACCAAAAATCCAGTGATAAAATTACAAACAACCGATATATATATATATGTGATTTCAAATCATGACAGCAAAACACAAAAAGAAACACATGCACCAAGCAAATAATTTCCAACGGTTTGCTATGATTGAAGGGAACACTTAAGACTTAAGTCTACTAAACATATAATTTGGCATGTAACAATGTGACTCTAGCCATTTGCCCTGCAGGGTTGTGTTCATACAAGCTAGGGTGAATTTGGAAAATTAAGCCTCCACCTCTATTTGGGCTTTCTGTATTGACAAGCATTTGTATTTCCACCCGTTTTTCAGAAGAGGTGGCTGATATTTTTCCCGAATGCGTAGCGAAGGGTTCTCGTTTAACTCTGGGGGTCTGGGGGTAGGGCCTTGTTCGCGACCCGTTGTTTCTATGTTCGCAACCGTCCGCAACCGTCCGCAACCGTTCGCAACCGTTCGCAATCGTTCGCAGGTGTTCGCAGTAGAGCGCTAAGGCGCTGCCATTGAGGGAAGCTTTTGGAGAGGGTTTCGGATGAAAACGTGACGTGTCAGATTCGTGTGAAATAGCGAGGAATCGTGTGGAAATGTAAGAGGTTGAAGTGTGCTGGATGATTTCACTGCGCAGGCGCAGCGTTTTGTGAGATCCGCAGTTTACTACGCAGTTCCATTGGGATTAGCGTTTGGAGAGTCGTGTTTTTGGGTGTTGGATGTGGCCGTGCCATTGGGATTTGCGTTTCAGGGTGTGGCATCGAAGCTTTGTTTTCGTGACAAGTCTCAGCTGAAATGGCGATTTTGGTGGATGGGAGTGTGCTCAGAACGGTGGAAATCATTCCAAACGTGTGGTTTGTTGAAGCTCACGTGAGATGATATTGTTGCTTTTCGTGGCAGGCGCAGTATACTTTGTGCGGATTTTGAGGTGTGGAAGTGCGATTTTCGTGGCAGGCGCAGGGAATCGTGAGGTTGCGAGGTGTGACGGAGGTGACATTTCGTGGCAGGCGCAGTACTTTGTGCGCGTTAGACGTGTGGATGCGGAAAGATTCGTGGCAGGCGCAGGGAATCGTGAGGTCGTGAGTTGTGGTAGAGGTGAATGTCGCTGTCACATTGGGATTGGCGTGTGAGCGGGTATTGTTTGGAGGGCTGGGCTCGCGAAACTGCTTGGCAAGGCAGCGTGATGTGTGTGCTCCGATGGGTGTTTCCGCTTGACTTTTGGAGGAAGTCTCGTGCGAAATGCTCGTTTTGCAGACTTTGACATGTGAGTTTTGGAGGAAGTCTCGTACGAAACGCTCGTTTTGGAGACTTGACACGTGACTTTTGGAGGAAGTCTCGTGCGAAATGCTCGTTTTGCAGACTTTGACATGTGAGTTTTGGAGGAAGTCTCGCACGAAACGCTCGTTTTGGAGACTTGACACGTGACTTTTGGAGGAAGTCTCGTACGAAACGCTCGCTTTGGAGACTTTTGGAGGAAGTCTCCTACGAAGCGCTCGTTTTGGAGACTTGACGCGGGACTTCGTACGAAACGCTCGTCTTGCAGCCTCGAAGCGTGACTTTTGGAGGACGTCTCGTACGAAACGCTCGGAGGAATGTTTCTAGTGTGCCAGAGTGTCCCACAAGAGTGTCCTACAAGAGTGTCCCAGAACAGTGTCCCACGAGAGTGTCCTATAAGAGTGTCCCACAAGAGTGTCCTACAAGAGTGTCCCACAAGAGTTTCCTACAAGAGTGTCCCACAAGAGTGCCCCACAAGAGTGTCCCACAAGAGTGTCCTACAAGAGTGTCCCACAAGAGTGTCCCACAAGATTGTCCCACGAACGTGTCCTACAAGAGTGTCCTAGAGTGTCTCACAAGAGTGACCCACAAGAGTGTCGTGTAAGAGTGACCCACAAGAGTGTCCTACAAGAGTGTCCCACGAGAGTGTCCTACAAGAGTGTCCCAAAGAGTGTCCTACAAGGGTGTCCCACAGGAGTGTCCTGTAAGAGTGTCCTGTAAGAGTGTTCCACAAGAGTGTCCTACAAGAGTGACCCACAAGAGTATGCTACAAGAGTGTCCCACAAGAGTGTGCCACAAGAGTGTCCTACAAGAGTGTCATTTGGACATATGTATATAGCTTTTCGACCGTGTTTGCATTCGGGTTCGTGGGCTCCATCTTGCTTTCATGTTGGCGGTGTGGGAGGTGTGCATATTGTTTCAAAGCGAACATTGCTTTTTCAAGTTGAACCAGAGATTAATAAAATACGTTTTGGCGTTTTGAATTTCAGCTCTCTGGAGCATGGATGTTGAACAAAGAACATTTACTGTAATAAAGGCGTTCAGCAGAAGCTCCTGCAGCCCTGCGGGAAGAAATCACAGCACACAACTGAAGGAAGAGGAGTGAAAACACAGACTGTGGCCAACTGTTCGCATGAGAAACAACTAATCTTCATCGCTCGGTGCACTGGTGGTACTGTTGTTGAGTGTTGTATTTTTCGTGGTGGAGTCGAGTGAGGCCAGAAGGTGATGGACCGCATGTGTGAGCGTTTCGGTTCTCTGCTTCGGCGTCGTTTCGGTCCTTGTTTTGCTCCATGTCATTCGCCTGCTGCCGCGAGCCGGTCCCAACAACCGGGCGTGCCCAATTTGCATGCCGCTCCACACAAAGCAACAAGAAACCAAACAAGGAGAAGTCTGGCAGTGTGGCAAGGCAATCAAAATTGAGGAGTGCTGTCCAGTTGCGTGGACGCAATGTCCCCAGACAGAGCATGACAGAGCTCATGGCCGCGGCAGCTTTGTTCTTCCGACCCACATTGCAGTAGTCTTGCAAGTGATTTGTGGGGCCTCCAATCACGTTAGCGTTTCCCAATTGGTTTCATTACAAGGTCAGGTGGCAGTACGGATTGACCATGAGCGGAACCTTCCGAAGGAAGACACACCCGTGCAGAGAGTCCTAGCAGAGCCAGCGTGAAAAGTGCGAGGCAAGAGGTCAGAGCGGTGGCCGAAAATGAGGCGGACATTTGAATGCCAAGCCCTGCCAGAGACCCGTTCAAGTGCCGAGTTTCAGTCCTTCTAACAGATTTAAATCAAGTTCAGCCGTGCTTTTCCAGGTGCCACACCCACCCGCCCTGGGTTCGCGTGCTTTGCTGCGCCCAGGAGGTCCAACAGGTTTGTGCCTCGAACTGGGCCTTTGCGGCGCGGCGGCGAGATGGCTCCGTCGTGACGTGGGGGGATGCAGACTTGGGCGGCGATAGCAGCCAGGCGCAGCGAGGGAAGGGACCAGCTAATTAGTAGCTAGAATGGCCAACAGGGTGATGAGTCATAGTGGAGATGTGGAAGCTTGGGCTGGTGGGAAGAAATCTCCGGCAAAGACGTTTGAGATGAATATGAATTTAGATGTAGAACCGAACCCCGAAGCTTCACTGGTTCCCTTCCAGTGGCTTGGAAGAAAAGGTCATCAAGCGCTCATATCCAAGTTAAAGCGCTCAGTTCAACGCGTTTCTTTCGGAGTTCAATGCCACTGGGCCCATGATCCCGAACGGTTCGCCAATGGTCATTGAACTGCATCAGGTGCAGGAGCAGCTGCGAGGTGTCACCTGCTTGAAAGCCACTGCCTGGGCCTTCGCAGCCATACGGGAAGATGGAGTCCTGGCACACGGATAGGCCCCCAAGTTCATCATCTTTCCTCAAGCAGTCTCCTGTTGGGGTTCTCAATTCTTTTATGTGGGTCTCCACCTTGCTTTGCTGTGTCCGGCTGCCGACCTCTGCCTTTCAATCCTTCACATTTGTCTCCTAGTGGGCTGCTGCGTCCGCCTTGTGGTGCCCGACCTGTGCCTTTCAATCTTTTACATGAACAAGGCGGCCAAACCCCCAAAAACGAGGTAATGACTCCGAAAAGCAAACGGGACAAAATCCATGGTCCTTCCCTTTCTATAGGCTTTTGTGGTCGGATTGCATGATATGTGGAAGTTAACGTTAAGAAGCAAACTATGACTGCCAAATTGGCCCGCCTGCCCAAAACTGTTCCGGGTTTACGTCTATGTACGTTGGTAATATTTTCTTTTGAGAAGAGAAGAACATCCCAAGAAACGTGGTGCCTCATGATTCCGTGGACGTCCGATTTGTATCTCATTTCTTTCTCCATGTCACAACTCCCAACTTTGCGCTTCAGTGTGTGTTCCATCTCCCCATCTCATCTCAGGAAGTGTGGTCACTTGGGGTGACGCCATGCGCGGGGGCGACAGCAGCCGGGTGCAAGCGCAGCTGCGTTCGGTCCAGCAAATCGCGGCCACGGCCAACGCCTTCGCGGCGATCTTGGCGGATGAGACCGTGGTCACCTGGGGCGATCAGGCACGCGGGCGCGGGCATCGGGCGCGGGGGAGTAGACGGGGGAGTAGACGGAGGCGATAATCAATGGGAGACGTGTTGAGACGTGTTTTCTTAATTTGGAGATGTGGGGGTATAGTTCTGGTCTTCTTTTTTCATGGTATAGGTGTGGGGGAGGCCTTTCTGAAAGCACGAAGTCGTATCGTTGCCAAGTCGTCTTTCGGAGAAAACACCGAACGTGGCTCGGTCAGAGAACGGTCTGGGCCCGAGAAGATGTAGGTCCGGCGTTTGCCTTCCCCAGCGTTCACCCCAATGGACTCCGAACTTCAACTGAATCACTTGATTCGTTTTTCCTAAAAATAAGTTATCAGAAACACACCAAAAAGATCCAAAAAGCTCTGAAACCTATCCACTCCCCCCAATGGACTCCACTCCTTCTCCACTCCTTCTACGTCACACCATTCGACGTGACACGGATGGTCTTTGAGGACTCCGGTGGTGACAGCGCCGCGGTCCGCACCGAGCTGCGGCACGTGCAGCACATCGCAGCCTCCAACGGCGCCTTCGCCGCCTTGCGGAGCGACGGCTCGGTCGTGACCTGGGGCGATGCGGACTACGGTGGCGACTCGGGGGACGTTCAGGACCAGCTGAGGCGCGCGGTGGGGGAAGTGGACGCAAGGAATGCGGGAAGTGGTGAGGAATGTGGGAAGTGGTGGAAGAAAAGGAGGTATTGAGTCCGGAGAGGTTTAAGAGTATACATTGTCAAGTGTGGAAAAGGGTAAGAAATCAAGTAAGCAGTCCCTATATAATTGCTGTGGAAGATGCATGGAAAGATTATTCGCGGATGGGGTAGTGAGTCGCAGACTCGGTGTGTACAACATTCTCCTTGGAAGGTTGCATTTGGAGGTTTTATCCAAATGAAGAGGCAATGCGGTGCGAGTCTTCGACGATTGCAAGTTGACCAGGATTGGTAGGGATGTGTGAGATTTGTCTTCCAGCCTCTCTGCATGTTTTTGTAAGTTTATATCACGAAAGCCAGCTGATAGGCTAGGCTGAAGTTCTTTTTGCCAAAGAAGTGAGTCTTTAGGGGGTCTGGGAGGTGCGGAAAAGTGGAAGTAAACCATCCTGGTTCTTCAAAGTGACCTTTTCATCCCTTTGAGGTCACTTAGGCCTGTCAAAGGTCACTTAGAGACTCGAAAAAGGTAACTTTGAAGAAGCTGGATATTAGCTTGCTTGTTTTTACTTTGCCAAGGAGGTGATTTTTGGTGGGTTGGTGATGCAGAAGATGCAAGGTGAAAAGGCCCAGTGCATCATTTTGTATCAGCCACCTGCTCCAACGACCCTATTTGGTTTGTGTGTATTGAATGTTTGGGTGACACTCTACTTAGACTTACTGGTTCACGGCTGTAACATGTGAAAGTATTTTTTTCCAAAACACGTGCTAGAGGTCTTGTCCTTCAGGTCTAGCGTGTGTACTTGCTCCTGGCTTTCGTTTCCCCCTTCTCAGGTGATGCCATATACTTGTTGGTTCAGTTTTGCGTTCTGCGTTGCCTAGCCATGTTTTTTTGCTTTCTTCTCTTCGGGGCAGGTTTGCAGGTTTGCAATTGGAGAAGTCATGGATCGCATTGGACATATCAATCACCCAAGAACTAGCTGGTTTCGGGTAGGACATCCATTCCAAGTACCTTCCTTTTGCTCTGCTCGGACCTTTCTGGCGTTCGCCGGTGACGAGTCACGTGCAACAAGAAATGATACGTCACGCCGCGTTGGGATGGACATGAGGACCTGGGCGAACATGACTGGGGCCGCTGGGACAATCTGTAAACCTCAAGACGCCTGGCCTGGCTCAGTTCTCCAAAGATCCTTGAGTTGGAGCACAGTCGCCCCAAGATCCGGTCGATGTCTCTCCGAAGAAATCCCTTTTCCACCCCAAGACGTCCAGGCGACCCCGCCGTTGAGGAAGAGTCGCCTGGCCTGCTCCTCGGTTCGTCGCAGGCACGTGCAGCAGATCGAGGCGACGGACGGCGCCTTCGCGGCCATCGCGGGCATTGGCGTGGTGACCTGGGGCTTCGCGCCCTCGGGGGGCGACTGTCGAAGAATCCAGAAGCAGTTGATGGCGCTTTGAGCGTGGCGATGGATGGCGACTCGGTGGCGATGGACGGCCGTGGTGCGACGTGGGAGCTGGTTTTCCCTCCCTGCCAGCGATGTGTATGGCGCTGACGTGTTGGTCGCCGAAGACTGATGTCAGTGAGTGACTAAGTAGGCGAGGCGGAGTACGGGACATCTCAAAAAGACGGAGGCATGAGGCAGCTGAATGTGGATTCTTGCCCTTATCAAGAACGCATTCGGTCAGGTAATTACTACTTTCCAAACAGCATCTGATTTTGTGCAGATATTTTTTGCCCTACGAAAGCTGTGGTTTTCTCAAGAAACCACACAAAGCTGTCTTGGTTCCTCAAGCTTTGCCAAGTTCTTCTCTTTCGAATCTATGGGTCACAAAGGTTGACTTGCCAGCTTGGTAGGTTAGTGTAGCTCGGGTCCGGATCCCAGCAGTGGAGCGGGCCCTGTACAGAGAAATGGAAGCGGAAAATGGGACAGATCCAGATGCTTGGCACGCTTGGCCTGAAATGTCTCTATAGTCTGCCTCTTCCAGTGGTGATTCTACCGGATCTATATATTGATACCATAGCAAATCATAGCACCACACACCTTCATACCCCAGCAGCCAGATGCCTTTGACGAAGGGAGGGTGTTGGGTCCAAGACGAAGGAGTGGATGGACGTCCGTTCCTCCGTGCGGACGTCCGGGCAGGGCCGCGGGTCGAGCTTGGGCCTGACAGAGGGGTGCACCGTGCACCAGTGCACCAAACGAGTTCCACCGGGGCGCAGACAGTTCCACCATGGGTTCGGTCCACGTCACGTCACTGTCTCTTCATACAGTGGCACGACCTGATCGACCAGATTCGGTGAGTTTGTTTCATGTCGAGCTTGGGCTGACGAGGAGGTCTTGTTGCTCTGGCCTTCCATTCCATGCCGACGACTCTTCAGATAGCTCGCAGATCTTCCGTTCCGAGCACCCCCCCGAGTCATCGGAATCGGAATCGGGGTATCCATTCATGAATCAGGAGAATGACTGCGTGGAGAAAACCAGTCTTTCCCCTCTAGAACTGGCTAAAAAAACATCGGGACGCCCTCTGTCCTGTTCCATGGAAAAGTGGGAGAGAGACAAGAGAGCTTTTGGCTTTTGCAGTCGTGTGCTGCTTCCAGCTGTTCTGGTGCCCGCAGGAACTGCAAACATGTGAGGAGGTTGGAGAGCTGGCGAAAGGAGGGTTGGACCTTGAGCGAAGATGGACGTGATTTGGCAGCAGGGGAGAGGGGTCCATTGTTTTCGACCACACGAAAACAACATGTTTCACGATTTCCCATGCACGTGACAGGGAAATCACATGTTTCTTTCTTCCGGGGCCTCCATGGAAGTGTCTTCCTTGTGTATTCACAGTCCAATTGGTCATGGTGTTTCAAGGTGGTAGGGCTCCGGTCTTCCTGCCTGACATCAGAAGCAGTTGCATCTGTATCTAAATCCAACAATACATCACGATGACTATAGCCGACATGCACCACTTGTCATTGTCCGCTTATTTTTCGTCCAGTCACGAACCAATCCCAAGAACCAGGGAGCAGTACTGTATCAACATGTATGAACTAGTGTCGACCTCCTCTCATTCCGAGCTTCAGAAAATCTGCCAAAGAGGTTGTGCAGTTTTTGCGCCGCCTTCGAAAGGTAAGCTTTGCCACTGGGGTGCGCGGAAGATGGAGCCTTGACAGCAGTGGAACGGAACGGACATCTGAACCCTCTATATAAGACTCTTAGATACTCTTGGTATGTGAGCATCTTGCACTGATATCGTTCCTTTTTCAAGAAACAACATGAAACAACCACGTTTGTCCACTGACTGAGGATTTCAGGCACCATCAAGCAACCATATTCCAAGGCAATTTTTTCTGCTCGCACCGCCCGGAGGCCACAGTTTTTCGTGGCCGCGCTGAGGTGAACTTGGTGGTGGTGGAGGAGAGCTGCACGGAAACCTGGGAGGCCGTGGAAGAGTTTTTAGACGCCTGAGCTGCATGGGTGAGGGGCTTCGGGGTGAGTAACAACCACGCCACGCGCCTCAAAGGGAGGTGAGTGTCACACGTTTTGGTCAAAAGCAGACATCTCAAGCCCGCTTGTTCAGCACAGCGCACCTAAATAGTCAGTACATGGCTCGTAAAGGAGCGAGAGTATGCACCTTCAAAGTGACCCAACTTGAGATCTCAGGATCAGGTCACAGGTCTGCCATTGCAGTCAGTGATGTCTCACTCCAGTTGGAGGTCACGAATTGAAGGTGGTACGGTACATGTTCACAACAAGTCCCCACCAAACATCTTGGGTGTCAGGCGATCCGCGCGACGTTTTTGGGACCCGGTTTTTCGTCCGTCCATGACCTCAGGATGCCGGGGTGCCATGACTCATAGATCGATATGGACGTTATTTATCAGATCATGCCCTGCATTCTCATGTATTCAGAATACAAGGAATACCACCACTCCCGCTTCTTTGTCCTGTACATTTGCCGATGTTCGATTTCAGCGTTTTGTGCCGCAGATGCGCCTCAGGACATCTTTGCCTAGCCAAGGACATCCCGGCTTCCAGTTGGCCCATGTACATAGCCCCCGCGCCAACGCCCGCGCGGCGCAACCGCGCGGTCCGGCATCGCTTGCAGAGGAGAGGTCCGGTTGCTGCGAAGCGCAACGAAAGAGGGGTCCGGCGATTCCACTTTCATCTTTCAACCCCTCCAGGTTGTAGTTTACTTTCTTGAAATGCATCGGCATCAGTTCTGGGAGTATAAAACCACTCAAATTCAGAGTTGCAGCCCCTACACAGGGTTGTAATTATAGGTTCAAGACTCAAGACTCTGTACAGTCACAGAGTGCTGAACATGTAAAGCAAAAAACTTCCTTGGTAAAGCTCCCAGCTATACCAAAATCGATGACTCAATGGCTCTTGCACAGAAGGTTGAGAAGATTTTGGGGGATATGAAGATGTTCCTCCCCACGCAGGGCCCAAGTGAGGCTTGAGACCTCTTGAGACGGGAGAACGGATAACTCGTGATGCGTGTCGGAGACATGCGTCGGCATGTTTGACCCCTTGTGCCCGGCTAACTGGCAGAACTGTGTTGGCTTTGTGCGGTTTTTGATAGATTTGGGATGATTTCGGGAAGATAGGGAAGATGAAGAAGATGAAGGCACTGGGGGTGTTCCAACATCAATCAGAAACTGGTCCAGTACAATTTGACAATTTGTTGTTTCTGTTTGTTTTCCACCACCAATCACCACCAACCACCAGTCCGGTGTCAGCTTCGTTGTGCTTGGCACCGAACTTCCTGCTCCGCAAATCAAACACCCACGGCTGCGGACTGAGGCCATAGCTACTTCCCATCGCCTGCGGACTGGAGGGCCTTATCCATTTACCAACTCGTCACGGCACGGGGGTCTCAGCGGACGACGGAAGGAGAGGAGGGGTTCCCCGAACCCGTGGGTTGGAGCTCGCCCGAGCGAGGTGAGGGTTCCCCGAACCCGTGGGTTGGAGCCCTTTAGGCTTCCAAAGAAGATCAAAGAAGAACATCCTTGTTTTTCCCCCGATACGAAGCTATGGGGTTCTTACTTCAAATAACAATGTGTTGCCCGTGCGCGCTTTCGAGACAGGTTGCTGGTGCTGGGTGCCGGTGCTGGTGCTGGTGCTGCTGGCTGTGCACGTGGTGGAGACAGGTTGCTGGTGCCGGTGCTGGTGCTGGGTGTCGGGTGCCGGTGCTGTGAGCTGGCTGTGCACGTGGTGGAGGCAGGTTGCTGGTGCTGGGTGCCGGGTGCTGGTGCTGGTGCTGTGAGCTGGCTGCGCATGTGGTGGAGACAGGTTGCTGGTGCTGGTGCCGGGTGCCAGTGGTGGTGCTGGGTGCCGGTGCTGGTGCTGTGAGCTGGCTGTGCACGCGGTTGTGGGTGTGCGCGTGGTGGAGACAGGGTTCCGGTGCTGGGTGCCGGGTGCCGGTGCTGGTGCTGTGAGCTGGCTGTGCACTTGGTGGAGACCACGCGTGGTGGAGACAGGGTGCCGGGTGCCGGTGCCGGGCGCCGGTGCTGGGTGCTGGCTGTTCGCCTGGTGTTTCTTATTTTTTCAAACGAAAATGAGCTGGCTGCGCGCAGGGTGCCGGTGCTGGGTGCCGGTGCCGGGTGCTGGTGCTGGCTGTGTTGCTGGTGCTGGGTGCTTTGAGCTGGCTGTGCGCGTGGCCGGTGCCGGGTGCTGGTGCGGGCTGTGAGCGTTCTTTGTCTATTAGCGCTGTGGGGTATTTTTACGTCAAGGATATAGAATTTGCGCGCATACTTTTGCACGTATAATGTTGTATGCGCAACGTCAAGCTCTCAACCGACCATGGTTTCAGCGTGTTTCAGCATGCTACACACACAAAAGTCGTGCTGGATACTGCTTGGCCTTGGGCGAGTGAAGCCTACGGGCTTTGCCGTTTGTATGCGTACTTTTGTTCGCATAAACTTATACGCGCAAGATCATACGGCCTCATCGTTCTGCATATCGTTGCTTCAAACATGCTACATAGTGGCGAGGGCTAGCTATGGGGCTCTTGCTGCAAATAAGAATGAGCTGGCTGCGCGCGCTTTCGAAAGGGTGTCGGTGCTGGTGCTGGTGTCAGCTGATTGTGCGCGCTGTGGAGGTGCCGTATTCTGGCTGCGCAGGCTGCGTACATTCTTGTTCCAGCCAGTCGCATGTCAACAGGTCGTGGGATTCTGCTTAGCTATCTGGGTCTATGCCGGTGTAATGGTTTCTTTTCTCACCAGATAGCGAAGTTATGGGGTTCTTACTTCAAATAACAACAAGTTGCCCGTGCGCGCTTTCCAGACAGGTTACTGGTGCTGGGTGCCGGTGCTGGTGCTGGTGCTGCTGTGAGCTGGCTGTGCACGTGGGGAAGGCGGGTTGCTGGTGCTGGTGCTGGGTGCCGGGGTGCCGGTGCTGATGTGAGCTGGCTGTGCACGTGGTAGAGACAGGTTGCTGGTGCTGGTGGTGGTGCCGGGTGCCGGGTGCCGGCGCTGGTGCTGGTGCTGGTGCTGTGAGCTTGAGCTGGCTGTGCGCGTGGTGGAGACAGGTTGCTGGTGGTGCCGGGTCCCGGCGCTGTAGCTTTCATATGTGACGGGGTCTATTTTCGGATCTTTTTCCTAGATAGCGAGGCTATGGGGTTCTTACTTCAAGTAACAATGAGCTGCCCGCGCGCGCTTTCGAGACAGGTGCTGGTGCTAGTGCTGTGAGCTGGCTGGGTGCCTGGGTGCGGGTGCTGGTGGTGGTGCTGGTGCTGTGAGCTGGCTGCGCGTGTGGTGGAGACAGGGTGCCGGTGCCCGGTGCTGGCTGTGCGCGTGGTGGAGACAGCGTGCCGGTGCTGGTGGCGGTGCCGGGTGCTGGCTGTGCACGTGGTGGAGGCAGGTTGCTGGTGCTGGTGCCGGGTTCCGGTGCCGGTGCCGGTGCTGGTGCTGGTGGTGTAGCTTGCATATGTGAGGGGGTCTATTTTCGGATAATTTTCCCAGATAGCAAAGCTAGGGGGTTCTTACTTCAAATAACAATGAGCTTCCTGCGCGCGCTTTCGAGACAGGTGCTGGTGCTGGTGCTGTGAGCTGGCTGGGTGCCTGGTGCCGGGTGCTGGCTGTGCCGTGGTGGAGACAGGGTGGCTGTGCACGTGGTGGAGACAGGGTGCCGGGCGCTGGTGCTGGGTGCTGGGTATATTGGTGCTGTGCGCCGTGAGCTCTCGGTGCTGGTGCCTGCTTCTGACAGTGAAGTGATGATAACAACCGCCGCTTCTGACAGTGAAGGGTAACAAACCGCCGCTTGCAGCAGTGAAGGGCGACCAAGCGCCGCTTCTGACAATGAAGTGCCAGCAGTCATGGGCCGCGTGAACATATGCACGCAACATCATACCGTGTTGTCGCTTGAGCGTTCTTTGTCCAATAGCGCTGTGGGGTTGGGGTATTTACACTCTTCAGGTACTGTTTTGGCCGACAGCTGTGTCAAGGGCTGTACTGTTTGCGCGCATCCTTTTGTACGTATAATGTTCTATGCGCAACGTCAGGCTCTCAACCGACCATTGTTTCAGCATGTTTCAGCATGCTACACACAATAGTCGCGCTGGATACTGCTTGGCCTTGGGCGAGTGAAGCCTAAGGGCTTTGCCGTTTGTGCGCGTACTTTTGTGCGTATAAACTTACACGTGCAAGATCACACGGCCTTATCGTTCTGCAGATCGTTGCTTCAAGCGTGCTACAAAGTCACTAGTGGCGCTGGATACTGCTTGGCCTTGGGCCAATGACGCTTGCGGGCTTTGCCGTTTGGGCGCAGCGCATAAACCTATACGCGCAAGATCATACGTTGTTATTCCCAAAATAAGGATAGCTCTGGGGTTCTTGCTGCAAATAAGCTGAGCTGGCTGCGCGCGCTTTCGGCAAAGCGCGCCGGCGCTGGTGTCAGCTGATTGTGCGCGCTGTGGAGGTGCTGTGCAGGCTGCGTACATTCTTGTTCCAGCCAGTCGCATGTCAACAGGTCGTGGGATTCTGCCAGGTCTGCCTAACTATCTGGGTCTACGCCGGTGTATTGTTTTCAGAATTCTGCAAGTACAGGGCTCCAGGAGCATTCTAAGGCACTTACCAAATGATGCAACGACCACAGCTTTCCTTTTTTCCCCTTCCCAGACTCCCAGAGCCATTTCACTCTTCTTGCGCGTGTTTCGCTCAGGACCGTTTTGCTGACGGGGATCCGAGGCAAGTGCCAGACCAGCGGAAATGCAGGGCACGTGTTGGAGCACGGAATGGGCAGAACTGCCTTCGCAAGAGAATGGGTGAAACCTGGAAACTATTCGCTTGTGACTTTGGTGACATGCGTCTTCGTCCAAACTAGTTGTTTGTGCGTACCATGAACACTTGTGTATACCCCCCCAATCTTCAGGATTGAGTGGTTGGAATTCATCTCGAGTCCTTGAATCAAGACTCACTATTAGCTTGAAAGAGGGCGAGGAAAAGGAGGCTCATTCCTCATAGTGAGGGAGAGGGGGTTTGAAAAACCTGCAGAGCTGCATTGCCATCATTCATGTCAACACCCCGACTTCTTCAGGTCTGCGTGCATCATCGGAGTTTCAGTATCCAGGGAACTGCTTTAAAGTCGAACCTCTTTTCTTAGCCGTCTTAGCCGTCTTGCAAGGTTTTTTTACTTTTTCACGCGAGGCTGCTGCCTTGTCCCCTAGGAAAAAGCCACCTAGGACCTACTTATGAGCACTCGGCTCCTTTTCTCCTCGGTGCAGGAACAACGAAGCGCTCGAAGGAGGCTTCGACGTGAGGGACATGGCCTTCAGGTGCGATGGCTTTCCGCGAGGGCGAAAACGGTCGCGTCGTCCCACCGACTCACCGATCATCGTGGTCCGTGGACGACCTGCGGAAATGTCCTTGTGTCTTTTGGGGAAAACAAAAACATCCGCAGGTCGTCCAGCTTCGCCCCCCTTTTTCCGAGCGGGTGGACAGCTCGGTGGACAGTTGGAAGCATCCTGTCTGTGTCGATAGTGGGGGTAGTTCGACCAATTGGGCCTTGGTTGGTGAACCAACATGGAGAAGAACGGCTCCGAGAGACATTTCAGATGACCAGAAGGCTGGAGCTTTTCGTTTTGGGGTAGAAGGGTGTCCCCGACTTGGTCCAGCCATACCGTATACCCTAATTGATCCTCACTTGAAGGTATTTCGCCGCAGTTTTTGGAAGAATTGGATCTCTAACAAAGGCTCGCCGTTTGTCGGATGTAAAGGTCTCCTTTGTTCATTCACTCAGAAACCCTGAAAACAAGACCCGAAGGAGACACATTGCTCAGTGGAACAGAGCTCCTGGTCCTTTTGCCTCCACAAAACCCCGAACATGGCCTCCCACTCTCTGACCAACGAGGCATGGAGGCGACTTCGTGGGCCTCAGAGAAAAGCTTGACTACATCAAAGGTCTGGGATGTCAGGCGGGCCCCGCGAGGATGGGATGTTTGCCACGTTCGGACGAGGCCACTGGCCACGGGCGAAGCGATAAGCGACCGACAAGAAACCACACGCAGACACATTCTCAAAATGATTCTTGGAAGCTGCCTCAAAGGAAGGGAACCATAAATTTGTGGACAGAGGTCTTGGCCTGGCACCATACGTTGGAGCAAGCTTCAACTTTTCACCAAAAGAGCTTAAAGCAACCTCCCTTGGCCGGCTTGGCTCATGCACGCATGGCCTGAGGCCATTTGGATTTCACCGATTTTCCAGAATGGGCACGGAAGCTTGGTGAAGCTGAGCTGAGGAAAACAGCATCAGCTTCAGGTCTACAGTACTACAGTGACACAATCCCAATCATGGCTTATGAGCTATCATCCCCCAAGTTGGAAGTTCTCACGACCAAAACAGGGCAAGCCATAATATGCAGATGTTTTCTCTAGTGACCTCCTAGCGTGTGAAAGCACATGATGGGCTACCCTCCAAGCGCTGGACCTTCGTGTTTGATTTTCGACTTGCGACTGGTTTGATCCCACTTCAGTATCAAGACTTGGTCTATCTACCCAGCTGACCGATGGCCACCCAGGTTCAACTTCTACCATCAGTACGCACAACACGACTTCACTTTGATAGATCGTCGGCTGGGTACTTTGGAGAAGCTTCGAGTCGCGAGCTGAGAACCCGAAGGAAGAAAGGAAAGGAAAGGAAAGGAATGGAAAGGACAAGAAAAAAAACGAAAAGAAAGGAAAATAAAGGACAAGAACAGAACAGAACAGAAAACAGGACCCGCTTCGAGGGTGGATGGCAAGCGAAACAGGACCCGCGCTGCTCATTGCTTGCTCTATACCTTCTAAGGCCTTGACCCAGGCCGCCCACGAACGGGGTATGTATATCCTCGTGGTTCGGAGCCCCTGGTGGATCTACCGTGCACTGGCAGGGTCTGAACACGTGCCGCCGGAGGAGGAACCACCCAAACAACGCTGGCCCCCGGGGGTTGGCAACCGAAAAAGCAACCGTCAGCCTTGTGGCTCCAGCCCACGGCACCGGTGCGGAGGCAACCCAGAAAGCAGGGGTTTGAAGGTTTGATTGCAGCAGCCCAATCCCAGAAAGTACTGGCAACACGGATGAACCTACTGTAATACAAGGAACCAGTGATTCAGTGTGGCGGATTCGAGGATGTGGTGATGAATCACATGGGCAACGAGTTCTTCTTCGAGGGACACTCAAGCGACACTGCCTGAAGCTCGGGGGCATTTCCTCAGGCTGGAATTGTCGCATGGGGGCTTGCCCCTTGGATTCATGTCATCACGAAAGTGGTCCAGTTTTCTAGTGAATCAGCTGACTCCAAACCTCAGGTAGTTTTGGTCCAAAGGAGAAGCGCGACTTCTGCGCGGTTTGCGAAGCATGCCTTCGATTGATTCCCGTCATCCTGCACCCCAGCCGTGCTTGAGGCGCCTTTCCGCTTTCATGAAATCGGTGGCCTTCGAGAGTATAGGCGCGAGATATCTCGGTCTTTTGGAAGGTTTCGGGTACATACCTATGCAACACATCCTCAAGTACTCAAGTACCTCTTTGTTTGAATGTTTTTTCTTCTTTCAACAGACCTGCAAAAGAACATGCTCAACAACCATGCAGACATTGAACACCAAAAGACTGCCCCATGCAGGGCTCATCCGCTCACGCGTTGCGAGCTCCCGGCGATTATTCCTCGCTCATTGTGCTCTTCAAGACGCCGTCTTCGGCTCAAAAAGACTATTTCACAGTCTCAGGCCCCCAAGACAGTCCAAGTCAGGTGTAGCCATGGAACCTGAAAATAAGACCCGGAAAGCCTGTTTTCATCTACACACCAGTCGTTTTCAGGGTCCATGTTACGTAGTTTTTGATGGGATACACTACCCTTCATGATGTGTTCAATTCTTGGTCACCTATTGGATGTGTCCTAGTCCGCCACTTTTTTTTGGAATCGGAACATGGATGAACATGGTCTACAAAAGGAAGTTCCCTTTTACAGGAGTAGTGTCACTTAGTGAGTCCGAAAGATCTACATTTGGCTCCAGCTGAAAAGGAGTTCTCACGTCATAGTCGGGCAGAGATGGCCAGGAATTGTAGGCCAGATAGTAGCGATGTCTCCAGCTGTACGGGTTGTGTCCTTCTGTCCTTCTCGTGTTTTGCACGGATCGGCCGAATGCAGATCCAAACGTTTGAAGGGGTCTACTCCAGTCGACCGGGTGTCCTCTTTCGGGGTGTTCCTCCTCTCTGTCTTCCTATTCCAATACACACCATCACACAACAGAATTTGAGGGGCTTATCCCTCGAGGCTTATCCCTCGAAGAAGCAGCCGTGAGCTCTATGACACTCCAGCGCGGGATCCCGATTCGGGCTCGGTCTGGTCGAGAGACGACCAACCTGCCGTTTCTGCACCGGTTTCCACTGCAACAGATCCTGCACGGGATCAGACCACTCGCCGTTTGCTTGTGATTTTTTGCAGCCAAGGCCCTTCTGACCCCCAGACTTGGAGAATTTGGTTGAATCTGATTCGAATCTCTGCCTCGTATGCGGCATACGAGCGGAGCATCTCACGGGGTCAGTTTTAGGTCTGTCGTGACCTCTCGGTGGTCAGCTCCATCAATCCTCAGGTTTCGGTCCCCCAAACCCTCATCGGTCTTCACATGCACAAACGGTCGTCACCGTAGGTCAATGCGGTCTTCACATCACATGGACGGTTTCTTTTTTTCGCCGCAAACGCGAAAGGAAGGTGAAGGACTCCACTTGAGGGATTAAGATTCAGATGGATCATTACTCATTTGACCTCTTTTGGAGGTGTCATATCCATTCATATCCATCCCCTGTGACTGATCATGGGATGTTCCCCAAAACTATATATAATATACAAAACTATACAAAACTATATATTATATATAACCTGTACTTCGTGACCCCAGCACGGCCGAGCCATAGAGCATGCCTGGACGAGCCTTCTTCCGCCCGGAGGTCGGGAAGCAGCCCTACATGGACTTCTGGTACAATAACACCTGGGTGGCCGAGGCTGAGAGTGCCATGTCGGATGTCAGTACCTAGTGGTCGTGGTGAAGCTACGAACGGAGCAAAGGGCATCGCTACGAACGGCCGCACTACTAAGAACAAGAAGCTACCAGCATCCTTTTGATATGGTCGTGCTTGTCATTGGATGTTTTTTGGGTCAGGCCGTTCTTGCTCAACACATGACGAGAAGTCAGCAACTATCCCATTTGATTTCTTGGAATTTTCTCATAACGGGCGTGTACCCAAACGTCAAGCAGCCCACTTGTAAGGATTCTAAACTTCACAATAGCCTGGTTGTCGGCACACTGAACTCTTGTATATCTGCTCTGCGGAAAGTTGTGAAGACCAAGGAACTTCGTGAGAACTGAACTACAACTGACAGCAAACGAAAGGATCTTCAATGCCAGCACTCATAGCGTTGGTGAAAGACCGACACTGGCACCAGCTGGAACCACTTCAACAAATATATAGAAAGTATGGATACGTATTGATAATATATGATATATATATATATATATTCATATAAGATATTCGTCTTTATCTCAGGAAGATGTCCTCTCCTTGTGTCAATGCTTCTTCGCTTTCCACATCCACCAGGCCCAGTATGCTAGCCCCTTCTATGGTCAATATGGCGAGGCTGGGGAGCTGGACCGCTTCAGAAGACAGGGCGGCAGACAGATTCATCAGGTGAGGGGAAGAAAGAGGTTTGTTTCATTGACCTATGGATTTTTGTCCTTGCGCGGTAGACCTCCACAGGGGTGTTGTAGAGAGGTGACCTGTGGAAGAAACCGTCTATGACGATCATCACATGTGTGCAACCAAAAAGTGTATGCACATACAATGAAACCGGAAAGGAAGAGACATTGGAAACCGCGTTGATGGGTCCTTCCATTGGGTCCTTCATGGTCCTTCCATTGCAACCGGAAAGGAAGAGACATCGGGCATCCCAAACCTGAACCCGTTGTGCCATGCCATGGCAGCTGGGCATCTCCTTTTTTTTCCTCGTAGGGTGGTCATCAGTCAGTCCGTGATACTGATACTCTCTATACTCTGAGGAATCGTTGGACAAAAGCACCTGCTGCTTTGGTAAGTTTTTGAACCAGGCGAGGTAGTGAAATCGGAGCTCTGCAAGCGACAAACGTGGTCTGCGCGAACGCGCAGAGCTGCCAGGCTGCCTGGGACCAGGGTCGAGGAACCTACGAAAGCCTGGTGGCCTCAGTGGGATGGGCGTCAGGGGGCGGACCCCAATCGTGGGAGAACCCGACAACAACATGTCATGTCGTTGTGGTTTCGGTGTCGTTTTGGAAGACTGGGGGGCCCAGGCTAGAGAGGCAGCCGAGTCCGACAGTGGGTCCCACCTGTTTGGTCCCGAGTAGATGGACTAGGACGTCATCCGAGTACAGAAAGGCGGCCGAGGTGTCCACGAAAGCAGTAGAGGTACAGAGTACAGACAGCAGATGAAGCGGCTTGACCTGGAGGAGGCCAACTCAAACAGGAGCCCCGAACAGGAGGTAAAAGGTCCATCTCAGTGAGGGTTCTTCTTCCACAAGCTTTTGCTTGTCAATCTCTATTTTCATTTGTGGAGACTCAGCAGTCAGGAGTCGTCCATGTGAGCATGAAACCAGTCATTCTTCCAGAAAGGAGTGCATTGTGAATGCTCTCGTGACAACACGCATAGTTGCAATGTGGGTGAGACTTCTGCTGCGCTTTTCTTGTGAGGGCCATGTTTGTTTGTTTCTTTTTGGGATTTCTTTTTGTTCTGTTGCTTTTGTGGCTTCTCTTGCTTTGGGCTTTTGCTGGCTTCTACGGTTTTCTACTTCGGTGGCTTCTGTGGCTTTGGGCCGGCTGGCGTTTGGCTGCGGGTTGGTTTGTTTTTTGATGGCTTGCTGGTTCTCGTGGATTTCGTTGGCTTTTGATGGCTACTTGTAACTTTGGTGGCTTTTGGGTGGCTTGGCACTTGGTTTGCTCTTGGGTGGGAGGCGCTGCGCCGAACCCCCCAACCCTCCAGCTTGTTCAAGCCAAGTCAAGTCAACCATTGCCAAAAATGATTACTAAACCGCAGCAGAACTAAAGCCAAGCCCAAGCAGTTTAGGGTAGGGGATGACCCCTCGCGACCAAACACTGCACACTCCTTAGAGGCACTTCCAAAAGCCCCATAATGAGCAACCCTGGCAAAGGCAAAAAGGGGATCACCAAACATCCAAACTCAACCTTTGCAAGCCCGGTTCATGCTTGCTTATGCCTTTTTCATCCTACATGCGTTGGCTTTTCTCCAACGCAAACGCGCAGCAGTCACCAAATCGGCTCCGCTGTCACTACGAGTCACCGCATGCTCCGATGTAACTCGTCGTCCAGGCTCCGATTTTCATCACAACGGTGACTTGCAGAACTATGCAGACCCATGGGAGATCAATGCCGGGAACCCTGGACGGTGCAGTGGCATGGGAGTGTGTCTTTTTTTTGGAGTGGGCATAGTGGAGCATGGAGGAACAAAAATGCAGATTTGTGCTCGGAATTCCCACGTTTTAAACCAAAGAAAGTGGTCCCTAAATCATAGGTACGGTTTCATAGCATCATTCGAGCAAAGTGCATTTTGCCAGCAAGGAGACTGGCCTCACCATGCCTCACCCCATGATTTCGAAAAGGATATATTAATAGCACATCCTCCCCACCATGGATGGCACCATCTCACCCAGACATTGGGCCGGTCGCCCAGCGGTGCGCAGCGTCGGCTTCGCGCCCGTGTCGCGCCCTGGTGGCCCTTGCCACCTCCCCGAGGTCGCCAAGATCTATGGAACCATGGATGACTTGAGATTGGAGAGCCGGCGGGTTCAGGACCCGTTTGGGGCAAGGCCGAGGCAGTCGTGTTGGAGACAGCAGCCTTCTTTTTGCAGAACAGTGGAACATAAGTAACATAAGTAACATAAGATACATGTACTGTACAAATGTAGAATCAAGTTATGTATATAATAAGTGTGGGTGAGGTTTTTGGGGTTTGGAGACTTCCAAAGCGCATTTGAGTCACACACGACGGGAGGTGCTGGAAAACGAGCTGCCCGTGATTTCGAAGTGTCGTCGGATTTTGCAGAACATCAGTACTCAAAGTTGTAGATGACCCGGACAAAAGCGTACAACATCGTACAACTACTGTGAGGCGTTTGCGTTTTCTATACCTCTTCTTTAGCTCTCGATATGATTCTGGACCCTGGTGGGCCGGTTGGTTTCAGCGGTGTCACCAACTCCATCCACACAGAATCGATGGATGGAGTTGGTGCAATCATTGCAATCAGAGCCTCCAAAAGACGGTTGACTGGAAAGAGTGGACCAAACTGACTAAAACCCTTGGCAGGGTCCATCTTGGGCTGGATTTTTGTTTGGGTTGGTTTTCAGTCGCGGTCGCCTTTTTTTTCTTTTTCTTTATTCTACGTGGACCAGGAGAAATACTTGGCCATGACCGAAGCGCTGATTGCAAGTGTGGATGTGGATGGCTTCCGTGTAGACACTCCCATGCAGGTGCCCATGTTTCGTTTCAGAACATCGGAGACCATCGGAGCAAACGTCACATGTTTATCAACCAGCAGTCGAGGAAGTCGGGGGGGTGCCGAACGGAGGATGGAAGGAAGGAAGGAAGTCGGGGTGCCCCTATCATCCACTCAACTGGATGGGACGAACCAAACATGACTCCGCCTGAAACAATTCAAATCCACACAGAAGCGACGCACAGAGGCACACAGGCACACCGTCCGGATGCTTGCGACGCGATAGCCAGAGGCCTTGAATCAGAGGCCTTAACAGAGGACACCTTTGCACCGGTCCCGAAACCACCTTCGGGGGGGGAAGAAAAGGAGGATGAACAGGGATGCGCTAAATCCACCACTCAATTCACCAGCTTCTTTGATGAACCAACCACCTTGCTCGATGTCTCTCGACACAGTCTTGCAGGTCTGAGAAACCCACGGGCCAACGGAGGAGTCGACGGAGTCTAGTCGCCTCCGAGTTCGAGTGGAGTCGAGCGTCGAGCGAGGTACCGTTGCCCTTCTACAAGCACTGGGTCTGAAGCCAAGCAGCATTGCAGCATGTGTTCGCTTGATTTCGGAGAATTGGAAGACGTTGTGTTTGGATGGAACTTGATGGAACATTGAACATGATAGAATATCATTCGAGGGTGACAATTGCAGCAACAAGCTATGATCGCCGATTGCTGTATGCTGTGACTGTGAGGGAGCCTTGCTTGGAAGATGTTTGCAAGTTGAGCCTTCCAGAAGAGTTGTCTCGTTTGTTCCATTCCAGAGAGTAGCTCAGCTATGGACAGTGGCTTGCCGATTCAAGCATTGATTTGATTGGATAAATTCCAACAACGCATTAGGCTATTCGGGAGTATGTTGAACTATAGAGGTGAAGTGAATCCTGGCCAATTGCACCATCCCACAAAAGCCAGCCAGAAATGCATTCAGAGTCTATACATGCAGCCATGCAGCCATGCATGGATGTCCATTGAGCCATGGGCAACTTGCCAGGCCTGGCCATTCAGCTAGTCAGCTAGTCCGAGAATAACAGTAGAGGCCTCGCCTGAGGTTGTTGGGATGCGTAAGGTGTGAGATTGCCAACGTGTGCTTCCTAACCTCCCCCAGGTTAGGATGAGCATGGTGCACTGAAGATGTAGCAAGGACTGCCCTGTGCTGCTCTGGGATGCTTTGTGTACTTCAATCAACCACATTTGGTCAATCATTTGCATGAACGAGTCCAGGAGCACTTTATACATCAAAGCAGAATTGATGTTAAATATGTCAAACTTGTTTACACATATACCTAGAAACCATTTGACCGCTGTATGGATAAGAAAAGACCATGTTTTGGATCCAAACAGGGGTTCAAGGCACATTTAGCTGAGACTGTGAAGATCTTGAAGCTTGGGAGTATTGGTGTTTCTGGGGATTCTCTTCCGGATTCTGTTGAATGAATCCGCTGAGCTTGCAATTCTTAGGTTCTTCAGACGAGGCTCAAGAAGCCACCAGAAGAAAAGCCCGCTTAGCTTGACCAAACTTCTGGTGACCGGTGGTAGAAGACGGTGGCCCTTTGCTTGGAATCAACATAAGAGGGTTGTCCTCGGACGACCGCTGAGAGTGTTGTCTTGGCGAACGCGCTTCATCGTTTTAGGGTTTATCCCTGGCGTGTGTTTTATGGCGAACGATCCCGGTCAAAGGTCTCAAAAATCGGTGCTGCTGGTGGGCCACCCTGATTTTCTCGTCAGACTTGAGACGTGTTCGCTTCGACATTGGCGTGCATTGGCGTAACTTCCAATTGGACAGGTTCTTGAGACGGGCTGTCTTTTTCACGTGTTCGACGGAAGAGTTGTCAGAGTGATCCGCTCTTCGAGGAGACGCCCGAAATTCGCCGCCGGTGGCCAAAGAGGATGACCGGGACGAGGAGATCCGAGGATTCTTAAGAAAGATTTCTAAATAGATAGTGGCACGGTTTCCAAGACCTTTTGAGTGGGGATCGATTTTATTCTGTTTTCTATCTATTTGGGGGTCCAAAAAACGTGGCAGACAGTGTGTTTTGTTGTGGCAAAGACTCGAGAGGCTCACCTCGGACTCCCGTAGGCAGAGCATGAAAACGCATGAAAGTTCCGCTCTGCTCGGCCAGTTCCACTGGCTCAACAGCTAGCAAGAAAGCCCATGCACAAGACGATGAAAATAAGGATGGAAACAGTCAGTCAGTCTGTTGTTTCATTCACTTTAGCCGCAAGCCATCGCTTGCGCCCATTTTCACCTATCACACTCGAAGCCGCGAGGTTCATTTTTAGACTCTCTTGTCTTGACCTGCGACAGAACCAACCCTTGAGACATGGTCGTGGTGGTCCCAGCGGACATTGTCCGGCAGGCGGTGGAGTACCGACGAAGGAAGAAGCCGGTCATATCCTTGAGACACTTGACAGCCAGCAGTGGTGACCGGATCTTGCGGCCTGTTGTTGATCGAAGCGAGTTGGGCAAGCTCAAAGAGATCGCCCATGGCAAGGATGGCTACCTTTCCATTTCATTCTGTGGCGATACAGGGAGTGGAAAGACACTCTTGCTTGCAGAGATCTTGAAACACTACAGGGCTGGAGAGCAGCCATTGTTGGTGGACGGAGATGTTCCCGAGATTGCAATGACAGGAGATATCGAATGCTTCATCCACAAGGAGAAGCTATTCTTTGACATGGAGGGCCCCAAAGGTACAATTCCCCTGATGCAGCTGATTTCCGAACAGGTGCCAGTGGATATGGACATCATTAGAGAGATTCGCATGCAGATTTCGGACGAAGAAGAGAAGCAGAGGCAGCACGCTGTGGCCAAGTATTTCCCTCGACTGGCCCTGGCTTTCTCGAATACTTTCGTGTATGTGACGACCCAAAATCCATTGAGACATCAAGATGTATGTGATGAGCTGTTGGATTTGGCCAAAACACTCAACCCCGCCCTCACAGCAAATGCGAAGCCGTTTCTGATCATTGCCTGGAACCAAGCTGAGCTTGGGAAGTACGTGAAGCAGGGACAGGATGGTCGGCAGCGAGATATAGAGCTCACTGGGCAACTAGACAACAATGAAACAAGGAAGAAGATGCTCGAATTGTCATTCAGCAGAATTCAAATAATCACCTTTCCGAACAAGCACACTTCCAAGAGAGACTTGCATGGTGGCGAGCTTTTTGAGGAGAAGATGGTCTATTTTGCAAGCGTGCTGGAGATGCATCGGGGGGAGCTAACGAAGATGAGGGCTCGCGAAGGCTTAGAGCTTCCTGCCAAAGCACTGTTGACAATTATTCCAGAGCTTGTGAAGCAGTCAGACGGTGGCCTAATTCCCTCAGTGCCAAGAGCTCTCAAGGAGTACATGCGCAGGCACCCTGACGAGGATCAAAATGTGCTGAAGGAAGTCTTCTTGGATTTGGGAAGAAAATCGAAGGTACGATGTGGCAAGACAGAAGGTGCGCTGAAGGAATGGAGAGCCACCTCGATTAGATTATCCATGCTGATTGCAGCAAGAAATCTCGCATTTAGGTTCTTATCGGAAGGTGTTGAAGCCTTTCCACAAGAGGATCAAAACGACCGCGCCCAATCTTTGTACTCCAAGCTGCTCGTATATTTCAAAATGGTTTTTTGTGAGTGCCAAGCTATATACCCTCGGTATGAAGGCGATGGCAAGCCTGTTTATTGCAAGAAGCCCCACCATGGCCATGGACAACAACACGTGACTGAAGTACCTGTCCTGGGCCATTTCGAAGCACTTCTGATGCTCATCACTGGCGGAGGCAAAGGGGGTGAGTGTCTCTTTGATCAAGCAAGATTCCTGGACACTACGGCGTATACGCCATGTACATATTTATGATAATATATGAGATATATTTATAGTTGTTCAACAAACCAAACCGATAGGCCATTTGCTATTCTGCTCCGCCGTGTGTGGACAGGCTCCAGTTACCACGACACTTGGGAGGGTGAATTTGAAATGAGCCTTGAAGACAAGAAGCAGCTGGATGAAGATCTTCCCAAGGAAATGCAGCAGCGCACCCGGGCTGCTGCAAGAATTTGGCGGAGGACTGCGGCCGCGCCTGCGCCACTCTAGGCCACCTCAGTCTGACCATAGAGTGCATTAGCTGTCCAATGAATGATGTTCAACGTATTTTCAATGTGTATACTTCTTCTGACCATCTTGCCAGATCGGGCCCCCGTTGCTTGCGTGCTTTTCGTGCCTTTTTACAGGACTTGCCACCAGCTGTCTCCCAGTAGTCCTTCGTTTGCGTTTCTGTTGATTCTTTCTGGGTTTTAGACATGCCATGCAAAACAACTTCAAGCTGGAAGGCCTTCAACTAGGATGCTTTGTTCAAGAGGCATTGCCATGTGTATTTTGCAGGAATAATGATGAGCGCATTGAGGACCACTTCAAGAACTTTGCCGAAGAAGGCGTCAGCCTCCTGGCAGACTATGCGGCAAGGTTTTCGGCTGTGAGCAACGATGTGCCACTGAGACCGAACAGGGCCAACAGAAGCCGGCCCGACTTCCACATGGAGCCCCTTAATCCTTTCTGTGTGGCCTGCTATCAGAAGGTTGAAGCGGAAAGGCAAACCTTTGTGCTATGTGACAGTTGCTATGCTGCTTGGTCAAGGAAAGTTGCTGGGCTGTATACCACTGTGGAGTCAGGGCCGCAACTGTATGCCACAGGCAAAGATGGCTATGTTTACGGCCAGGCATTCCCTGAAGCGGCAGCAGACCAGAATTGGAAACTGCGTTGCATTGGCCACGACCTTCCGGGAAAGATCCAGTCCGTTACATGCAGCAGAGAGTACATTTACGCTGTGCTTATCCCTTACAGTTCCATAACATCAAGCCAGTCGGGCCAAGGTGTGCAAACTCACAGACGATGCTTGCTTCGGTTGGAAAGATGCGGTAAGAATCCATGCAGCAGAGAGCTTCACCCGCCACCAGAAGAGGAACCGGCAGAGGTTGCCCTGCATGAAGAGACGATTTTCCTCGTGACCAGGAATGGAAGCTTGTTTTGTGCTCCACTTGCAACCTTTTCAGATGGTGCTTTGGCTTGGGAAGCCATTTATCAGCCCCGGTTTTTTAACCTCTCACCTTGGCCTATCCGGAGCATTGCCTTCGACAGCAGGTGTGAGCGCGCTTACATTTTGCAGGAGCACCTGACAAACAGAAGATCAACGTTGTACGGGCTTCATGTTGCGGACCTGCGACATGTGAACGAATGGCGGAAATCAGGCCGGCCGAATAATGTGAAAAGCATTGAGGTGGCTGATGGTTGCCTATTGTGGACCACTTGGACTGACGGCAGCATCTACAAGTTGCAGCTGCCCATTGGCGAGGGCCCGATCGACTTTGAACATCGGGTTCTCGTGTCTCCAGAGTCCTCTGGCTTTACTTCGGTGGCTTTTGTTGCTGAACCGGTTGCAGATGCACAAAGCTTCCTGCAAGAGATTCCCGAGGTGAGGGTTTTTCTACACGCTCGCTGTCGCCATCGCATGCTGCATGTATGGCGTGCCTGTTTGACTAGTGT